AACCAAGAGCGCAGAGATAACCAAGAGCGCAGAGATAACCAAGAGCGCAGAGATAACCATGAGCGCAGAGATAACCAAGATCGCAGCTGCCGCAGGTTATCCCGTATGTTTACAGGTAGGAGCGACCGGCTGTCCAGCTCAAGCCGGCAGACGTGCACTGAATTGCATTAACGTGCACTGAATTGCAATAACGTGCACTGAATTTTCAAAGTACGCAGCAGTAAGCAATTCTGAGCAACTGTTATGGAGTATACAAAACGATATTTAATTAATGACGGAATAATGAATGAATAAGTTAGGCTGTCCATAATGAGCGCATGTTTACAAAACAGCCAAGTCCGACTGAGCTACAGCATCACTCAGTAGCTCCGTGATAAGAAATTGTAAGTCTATAAACGTTTGTCACGAGTGGTGTGAAAACGAAAAGAAATTGACATTTGATAAACGCGGCGACATATATCTGAGTTATTATGTTATTATGATAAATTTAACACTAAACATAACTTTTTTACCAATGATGTCACTCGTTTTCTTGAATCGCATTCTCACTAAAACACCAAAGCAAAGAAAACTCCTCAAAAATTCATACTATATTTATAGAAAACGTTTCGGAGTCCAGCTCCATCGTCAGTTAAAAAATTCTAGAACACAGATAAATCAGTAATTAGTCAAGATTACCAAATCGATTGGAGTTTTTTTTTTGTAATGTTACTTTTACATAAAGTTTATGAGCCGAGCAATGATTGATGTTTGCACTCTGAGATTTGCGTTGCATTTAATTTAAAAATCAAGAATTTAAAAGCAAAGAAAAAAGCGAAAAAATATACCATTTCTTATGCGAGAAAACAGAATTTCTTGCATAAGAAATGGTGAATTTTTGGGCTATTTTATTTGTTTATAAATTTTTGATAAACTTCTGATTTAAGCAATCAAATGATCTTGATTTAAAAGTGTATTATGCCACTGCTTTATTCATTCGCTTTTACTTATTTCTCGATAAGTATTATTCAGTAAATTAGCAGCAGCTCATTACTCGTTCAAGTTTAACTGTCTGTTCTTTGATAACATCTGCAATCTGCATTTGCAATATCGTAAAATTATGGAATACAAATGTTGAATTTATTGTTTACTAATTATGATGCGTTCATATCATATAATGTTTTTATGATTGAGGAAATCACGCAGAATTTTGCATACGCAATCTGCTTATCGTCATTTTCGTTTTCTGGGCGACTTAGTTGAAGCTCACTGATAATATTATGTGCCAAGGTTAAGAAACTTGACGTATCAATTCAAACCTAATGTATATACTCGGCATTATCCAATGGGATCAAGCCTAATATTTTCTAAACCCAATTAATTTTAATGATTTCTATTATTTCGAGTGTGCGTGAGTGCATGTATGGACCTGATTTTCATTGCCAATATTCCTCCAAAGTTATATATTAAATGATTTATTTTACTTTCATCATTCTGCGGACGCTATAATTGTTATTAATTTGTGTAATAATCTCAGTTCAAGATTCATGATGGTTTCAATATTAATTTATGATTCAAATCAAGGATCATAACAGCATTCCCTCGAAGCTGATGTGTTCAGCATACAGCTTTCGTAATTCAAATCGTAGGAACTATTTTGTTTGAGGGAGAGAGAGAGAGAGATAAGAATCTTAAACAATAACTAACAATTGTGTTTATTGTAGACGGATTCAACAATTTTAGAATATTCGATGCTCTAATGCCGTAGAACGTAGCATTAAGTACCTCAAGGTGTTTTCAAGATTCCCAGTTGGGATTTCTTCCAAAATTCGTTAAGAGATAGATTTCTTCTTCTATCCATCATTTTTTTCATACTCTTAAGCGAAGGAACTGAATGTTAATGTGTCTTTTAATTAGTGTTGCGTATTCCATTGGAGTATACCTATACCTAGGCGATGAGACGCGATTTGGAGCAGGACTTTAGTAATTTTTACCAGGACTTCAAAAACAATTAATGTATTCTCTTTATTTTGTATGCTAAGATCGAGGACGATCTTTTCCGAAGAGGGGTCATGTCAGTGAGTAGTTTGTGGATACAAATCCGAATGTTTTGGTTGCATACGGAGCTGGGCAGCGCTACTTTGAAATGTAGCGCCGCTATACCGCTACATGATCTAAATGTAGCGCCGTTACATTAGCCGCTACAATAAAATGTAGCGCCGTTACATTAGCCGCTACAATGGCCAAAATTATTGGAATTCTCTAAATATTTATTGTTCTGCTATTGGGGTTTACTCATAAACATTTAATGATAATAAACCATTTTCAAAACATATCAATGCAACTTTATTGCAAATAACCTAACCACACTAATACTGGTTAGATACAGTAAATAAAAGTTAGTTACTTACTTATTTTTATGATTTACCTTCCCTTACATGGATGTCTACTTTAATGTACCAATCTCAAAAATTATCCACATATACATATAAAAAAATATAACTCAGTACTCACTGCAGTGAGTGACAGAGAGCGCATTTTCTCGTCGACGAAAACTTGTGGTCACGGACAGACAGACGGACATGGCGAGCACAATAGTGCATTTTTTCCATAAATGAGAAAATGCGCTGAAAATTAGTCTTTTATTTGTATATATAAGTGGATTATTGTTGAGATTGGTAGATTAAAGTAGACATCCATGTTGGGAAGGTGAAACATAAAAATAACTGTGCAAAAATAACTGTAAGCAAACTGAAACATTAAAAAATACCTGTAAGTGGTAACTGGTAACAACTTAACAAGTAACAACTAACATGTTGACACTAGTAACAGGCTGAGGTTGACAACATTACACCGAAATCTTTCGTACAGTTTTATTCTGTAATTTATTTTATGTATGTTATAGTATGTATCATGCTGGTTTTTAAATAATATTTAATACTATTAAGTAAAATCTGAAGGCTTTATCAATAAATGTAGCGGTAGCGCTGTAGCGGCAAAACCTCGTATCGCTACTTAAATATGTAGCGGGCGCTACCGCTACCGCTACAATTGCTTAAATGTAGCGCCGCTACCGCTACTGAAAATGTAGCGGCCACTACATGTAGCGCGCTACTGCCCAGCTCTGGCTGCATATACTAATCCGAATGTGTAGTTTGTGTATACAAATCCGAATGTGTAGTTTGTAGATACTAATCCAAATGTGTTTACCAGAAGACCTATGTTTAGCTATGAGTCCACTGTGTCGCTCAGACCTTGCCTCATTCGACAGCTTCTACAGCTTATGTGTCAGGGCCTATACTTTCAAAAAAGTTAAGAGATTGTATGTTCATCCGCCAATCATTGACGGCCTTTCAAGCAAAATCAGCCAATCATAGACAAGAAAATAGAGCGAAACGACTTACGTTTACTTAATGAGTTTTGAAAGTATGGCCTCAGGAGGATAAGAGCTCTGTGGGCGGAAGCTCTAAGTATATAAATGAGCTAGGTACTTAATTAAATAAGTGCGACTCAGAAGTTTGACGACCACAGCAATTTAGTATTCATTTTTTTAGCATTACGACGGCCGAAGATGCTTACCATGTATCTGTCCGTACTTCTATATTGATTTTTATCTGAACCACCCCGCATCAAGATATGCCTAAGATAGAAAGTTACTTTACTTATCCTCACGTAGTCATAGTCGAATATCTGTCCCCAGATTGAACCTATATACAATATATTTATTTATACGCGGGATCATCCCACACATGTACCCACGACATTTATAATGCAGAACTTCAAAGGCTTTATATTTGATCGCATAACAACGACTACTATCAATAAGATAAACGATAAGATAGATAATTAGATATAGTTTGTAATGTAATAAATGTGCAGCTCAATTTAACGATCATCGAAGTAATTCGTGCACTGCAGCATCTATTTCCTCTTACTCGTTTATTTTATACTACTTTTTGTTATTTTCCAGATTCAATTCAAATTTACTAAAATTTATATAATCAAAGTTTCAGTTCAGAATAAGAGCGAAATTAATTATATGTATTTTTAATTTCACTTTAATAACTACCATTGCCATTGAAGTTTGTCGAAGACCATTTCTTTTCATTCATCCAATAACTGGAAATTTTATTTAAATAAAGTCTTGATTATGTCAATTGAAGAGCATAATAAGAGTTGTGATATTTTTGTGTGAATGACCAACAGTTTTTCCCAAAATGTTTCCCAGATTTCAAAAAAAATTCCCAAATAGTGATCGTGCTATCCATTATCTATTATTTTTGTTTAATGTTAATATGACACCAATTTTGGAAGCACGGCAGTGGATAGGTTATGTTAAGCTTTCACTGTGCGATGGCATGGTAGTATCACGGTTGTAGGATTGAATGAAAGCTAAGTCTTCTGCTAAGGTTTACTCTAACACCGAAACTAAGAGCAACCTGCTCTGGCCGAAGACAAGAAGATAGAGAGCGATAGGAGAAACGGGTGCTTCCTCTTACAGGGAAATAAGGCAAGAGACATAAAAGTTACGCTAGAATCCGACAACTCGCAGTACATGTTGCATATTGGTGATAAGTTTATTCTAACAGGTTAATTGAGGTTAAATTATTTTACCTCTGCTCCGTAATAGAAATGCAGAGCGCTAAAGTTAATGTTGACACACAAGAAATGTTACACGCTAAACAAGGATACTTATTGACAATAATATCGATCGTAGTTACAGGTGTATCAGTCATGGACTAAGTATCTGTTTGCAGATCATTTGTTTCTTTGAAATGTCATATTTTCAAACGTCGATTGAAACTCAAATTCAATTCAATTTTCACTTTCCTAGAAAAAAGCTGTGCTATAAGTTTGATATATGTAACTGTAGCCTTCAACACCGTTATTCACATCACTACCAACCCGAAGATGTTTCCAAATATCTGAGGCATAAGCAGTGTTGGGTCATTTACCCTTGTTTGTATTCTGATGTCATAGCACAGAGAGTTTGCGCAACAAAGGAAGAGTCTTTCACAATTGAAGATGACCTGAAGGAGGAGCTAAACCTAACATTATATCGTTTTGAAGCTTAGTTAGACAACAGTCGACCTCGCATTCTATGGTAATATCCGCTGAGAAAACGTCTTCACAATTAAGGCTAAGCCGAGCAACCATCACAGCATGAGCGGCGTACTGTGTTCTAAATGGATTCTGTTTGTAACTGCGATTATCGCAGTGAATTTGATGTTTGTTAATTCAAATATCTCGGAAACTGAAACATCATTTGACGATGAACTCAAGTCAACATTCTCGTTAAAAGAAAGATTTCAAAGGCTTTTGGCGCTCGACGAGCAGCCTCACAACAGGGAGAAGCGTCTGATCTACTTCCAGTTTAAGTTCCCATTCGCCTCAAACATGGAGGTAATCAGGCAACAACTCGCACAATAAATCTAATGAACACATTTGCTTTACTCTGATTCAAATTATGGTAATTTCCATTAGATATCTGCATTTTATAGCCTTTTATGTAAGCAGAGAATTAGCGTATGACGGTCAAGACAATTAACCGTGGGCACATAAGGAGTGGAAAAATTAACTCAAAACGCCACGGGATAAATATAGGGCAACGTGGGGCAGCGCGCCCCCCACTTTTTTTAGACTAAATTTTTGATGAAGTTTTAATTGATACGAGGTGATTCTTTGTTTTGTTTAAAGGTGCAACTAATGAGGAATGTATGATGTGAATTAGACGCCTATAGAGTTATTCAATTTGTAATGAAACACTATTTTGTAAAAAGTGTCAAAATGGGCCCATTGCCCCACCCCTGGGGCAATGGGCCCATGGGCTTGGGGCAAATATCCCTATAAATATTACTTTGAAAAAATAATTCAAAGTAATTTCAAAATCTTCATCTATAGTAATGGAAAAAAACTTTATTTAGCGGCAAAAAAATTTTTATCTGGACTAAAACAGTTATTCGCAAAGAACTTAATAACGCAAACATTTAGCAAAACGCAAATCCGTACACTTCATCACAGTGAAACTGTCGACCGGCGGTAGAGAACACGGACCAATATCTGCCATACTTAGCGAGAAACCCGCTATGGGCCCGTGACCCGCAGTGGGCTCGCTGCCCCATGTTACCCTACCATAGTTAACTTTTAATTTCCCCTTAATAATAAATCACATATATATGATCAATTAGACAATTTAATTTTAAGAATTTTGTAATTACCGAGAATATTAATTTTCATAGACTCTACTAATTAAACATCATTGCTTTACTTCAGATTAAGTGGACTTTCAACTGGGTTGCTATGACGGAAGCGAAGTACACAACTAAACTGCAAGTGGCTCTTCCACTCTGGCGACCGCTTCCTGCCTACCTTACCGAGGAAATCAACCAACCTCCGTTCCAGGCACTTTTTGGGACAAAATTGGGAAGAGAAGGAGCAGGAGGAGAGAATGAAAATGAAGTTTATAATAACTACGATTGGGAAACTGAAGACCATACGAATAGAAATCCTGATACTGCAGTTACCAAGGCTGATGAGGCAAATAAGACGGAGATCCATAATGTAACCAAAAGAAGTCCAGCTACATCACATCGAAATAAAAGGCAAGACGAACTAGTTCATGAGAACACACCGGACACTGAAACTCCTAACGGTTCAGGAAGAGTTTCCGAATTTGAAACGAAAATAGTATCGGATGATATTACTGAATCTGAGAGAGAACAGGAAACGGTATTTGATAGTTATGAAGAACATTCAGAACACGTCAAGAGTCTTCATGTGATGCACAGACTCGATGCATACAATGCTATCGAACGCATCTTGACAAAGTGAGTTTTTGGTTTAATAAGTTCTTTATAATCTTGTTATCTTATTTTATTGGTTATCATTACAGTATGTTCATTGGTACACACAAATTTAAATAACAAATGGGAAAGAATGTAATTGTTTTCATAATATGACACTAATCTACAGTTGAATTTCTGATTTTAAAATGTATTGGAAGGTTTTGCGGAGCATTAATTGCGATATCAGGTTCCCATAGTGGAGTAAAAATAATTGTTTACATAAAATATCCTGTCAGAAAACGCAAAGTTTAACTTTCAGCTAAACATTTTTGAGAATCACGTACGTGTATGATTATTTGTAGCATATGTTAAAATCAAACTGAGATTTTATAATGTGGCTTCATGACGATAAATTAAACTTTTCTCCGTCGAAGATCAGTAGAATTAGGAAATATTCCTTTAATTGTATTGAATAATTTCGGATTATGCTGGATGTTGTCTGTCTCAGTGAGCGTGGTAACCAGTGGTGGCACAGTTCCGCTAATCCGCTAACCGCTAATTAGCGAAGCTAACTTTTTCCTTATCGGATTAGCTGTTCAGCTAACTTTGAAAACCTTTAGCGGACCAATTAGCTTCCGCTAAACTTAGTTCCGCTAACTGGCAGTCCGCTAAAAATGTTTTAAAATCTCTGATTTAATGCTAAGTATCGTAAGCCGTGTGCCACGCCCACACTGATGGCTGACTACGTCATCAAATGTTCGTCAGCCAATCACGTCTTGTGTTACTGGCAGTAACACAAAGACGTCCTGCACTGCAGTCCTCTGTTGGACGCGATGCTGGCAGGCAACACGAAAAGGTTTGGGTCCCTCCTAGAAGACAAGGAGTGCCAGCTGGCAGCGGCCTTCCACCTAAGTTTCGGCTAGAAAAGCATAATCACAGCCATCTCAGCAGGGTACAGAAGGCAATGGAGACCGCCGTGGAGACAGCCCTGAGGGAGACCGTTGAGGAGGGCATCAGCACCACCAGCAACGACGAGGATGGGGAAGATGACTTCTTCAGCAGCATTACTCAGCCCATGGAGTGCAGGAGGAGCCACGGGTCACTAAAGTCCAAGGCACAGAATTTGGTGAAGACCTGGCTGGAAAGCAGCTCGAAGGAGGAATTGACTGACGTTGCCTTCTTGGGCGAGCAGGTGTTGATGAACCTTTTCGTTAAGTACAACACAGCCACCCCATCCAGTGCTGCAGTTGAGCGCCTCTTTTCCATAGGCAAGGACATCTTGAGTGCCAAGAGAGCCACCCTGTCAGATGCCAACTTTGAGAGGCTGATGTTCATGAGGGGCAACAATCATCGCCTCGAGGAGATGAAGGCGAAGGGCAAGCCAGAGTAAAAAGGAGTGTGTAACCCTGGTGTAACCTTAATATTTCTTATTCATTTAATAAACTGTATGTTGAATGTCAACTACTGCCTAATTTCATATGTTCATTTAATTATTTATGTTCCGTACACCTTGATCATCATCTGATCTTGGCATGCTACATCTTTTTGGAAAGCCCCCTTTCAAGGCTTGAAGTTCAGCTCTATAGGCCTTTTTTTCAGAGTTCCCCCCCCCAAATTAAGCCAAATCTAAATTTATATATTAAAAATTGGCGGTTATCGGTTAGCGGCAAATTCCGCTACATTTTTCGGTGATTTATCGGTTTAGCGTTATCGAAGCTAACTTTTCAGTTAGCGGATTAGCGGTTATCGAAGCTAACTTTTAGGTTAGCTGTGCCCACCACTGGTGGTAACAGATGTTGTCTGTCTCAGTGAGCGTGGTAACAGATGTTGTCTGTCTCAGTGAGCGTGGTAACAGATGTTGTCTGTCTCAGTGAGCGTGGTAACAGATGTTGTCTGTCTCAGTGAGCGTGGTAACAGATGTTGACTGTCTCGGTGAGCGTTGTAACAGATGTTGACTGTCTCAGTGAACGTGGTAACAGATGTTGTCTGTCTCAGTGAGCGTTAAAACAGATGTTTACTGTCTCAGTGAGCGTTGAAACAGATGTTGTCTGTCTCAGTGAGCGTTAAAACAGATGTTGACTGTCTCAGAGAGCGTTGTAACAGATGTTGACTGTCACAGTGAGCGTTGTAACAGATGTTTACTGTCTCAGTGAGCGTTAAAACAGATGTTGACTGTCTCAGTGAGTGTGGTGACAGATGCCGACTGTTTCAGTGAGCTTGGTAACAGATGTAGTCTGTCTCAGTGAACGTGGTGGTTTATATTTTTGTGATAGTTTAGTTTAGTGTGATGTTGCCTCAAGAGGATTTGTAGGTTCAGTTTGTTGGAAGCGTTTGGGACGGATTTGTTTGATAATGATCCGGAAGAATAACTTCCGGAATGCATTTATTATGCCTCTTTGAACACGGATTTCTCCAACGCTCCATCATATCTAATCAATATTCCCAATGTTGGTTCTCGTTGAGTTGTATACTATCAACCATTTTGATCATACCGAATGTTGTGTGACAAACACCAGTACGCATTTTATTCCGCTTCTGAATTGAGTTCCTTTTTATTCAGGCTTCGCAACTGTTTTGCTGTTGATGCAATCAAACAGCAATATTTTAGCGTTAAATTTATAACACTATTGTATTAAATTTAATATAACTGTTATGAAAGGTACGGTTACCCTGGTCACGCGTGTCTGCTGCGGACGGTGTGCGAGGTGGCGGAGGCACCTCTGCACTACGGCATCATGGGGGACTTCTTTAATCTCCTACTCACGTGAGCTCTCATTTTCTCTTGCAGCATTGACTCTCTCTCCTGACCTCACATTTTGCTCTCTTGCAGCATTGACTCTCTCTCCTGACCTCACATTTGCTCTCTTGCAGCATTGACTCTCTCTCTCTCTCTCTTGACCTCACATTGTGCTCTCTTGCAGTTGCAGCATTGACTCTCTCTCTCTCCTGAGCTCTCACTTTGCCCTCTTGCAGCATTTTCCCTCTCCTGAGCTCTCATTTTTCTCCTGCAGCATCGACGATTGCTTTATTTTTTTTTCACTTGATTCCTTCGGAATCTGATATTTAGTGCAATAAACTAAAAACTTAAATTCTCGGGCTTTTAAATGTTTAATTTTTCTTTTGCTTAATAAGGTTTCGTTTCATGAAGTATTGATTTCATTAGCTTCATATTTTGCATTTTATCTTTTTGTCACCTGCAACCCAGGCCACGTTACTCAGCTTTAAAAAATCACATGGATTCCTACAGTGAACTTGTTGCTGGTAGAATATAATGAGATGAAGCTGGGATGAAGCATCCCAGTCAAAACTGATTAATAATTATACTTCTATGTTTAACAATTGCAACCTTTTGTGCAAAAGCAAAAATGTTTCATTGCAAATGTTTGTTTGAGCGTTTAGCCAAATCATAGCGTAATTTAAGCATCATGTTTAATAATTGGTAAGGTATTGAGAACCGATAACACATTTCCTCAAAATAGGCTCATCAGCTCATTTTAATTCCTCAACAGACCATCAGTGGCATCGCTGTCTTCCCCCAGTTCGGACATGGAATTTTTGAAGGACTATTTGGTCGCAGAAGAAGTAGGGCGTGACAGCGGCGATTGCCGACGCAGTTACGCCGATTGCCCGTCCTCTGTGTTCGAAATTATCCCGCTAGTGTCGCACAAGGTACTCGATTTCGGACTATTCTGAGCACCCAATCCTCAACAGTGTTGTAGTATATTTAAGTCGTCCTGCGCTTGACGTTTTATTTCTATACACAATTAAATATACTAACTATGATTATCCGTCCTGTTTTCGATATCATCCAGCTGGTGTCAAACAAAGTTCTCGATTTCGGATTCTTCTGAGCAATCAATCATCTACAGTGTTTTGGTATATATCAATCATGCTGTGCTTAGTGTTTTATTTATATATGTACTCATGGTTATAATTGCTTATTTTTACGCTAATTGCTTCATTATTTATTTGCTGTTGTTTATAGACTTTAATGCCGATTTTATTCATCATCTCGGGTCAGTTTCATTGATTCTAGTAGATTGATCGTTTACATAAATTGATGCCCGTTTTATGCTTCGGTACTATCAGTCTTTGTTAGTTCATGCCGATTCATTTTGTCAGCCCTACTATAGTTATTTTTGTAAGTTAATATTATTTCACCAGCTTCACAGTCGAACCTTTGTCTGAATTATTGAATGATTCGTAATTTTCCGCTCTTCTGATGGAGCTGAGTTATTCGAGGAATGCAGTGTCTCATCGTTGTTTTGCGCTTCGCCGCTGCTTTGAAAACGACATGCTCAAAAATTAATACAAAATGGAATAAAATCATTACCAAAGTGAATTTTTGGAAAAAATCCTTTCAGTTTCTTCATCAGTGTCAGTCTTTGGAACTTGATAGGCTAAAAAATTACTGGTGTCAAATTAATTAGGCTAGTTTTATGCTTGTATTATATAAAAATACAGTTTTGCAACAAACAAGATGTTTAATTCTCAATTATATGATTCTTACTTTTTCTTAAAAAATTCAAAATGACTCTGTAGGTATTTCCTCTGTAGTCTGTATATCACAGTGACAACATAATAATCACACCCATAGTGGAATTAATCCGTGGAATCATGTGCCGGTTTTAGAATAGAATAGAATAGGTACTGACTAAAACCCGGACCCGGACCGGTCCGCCAGACCCGAACTGAGTGACTAAAACCCGGACCCGGACCGGTTAAAAAAAAATAAAAGGCTGCAAATCATCTCAAACGTCGAGAAAACTTTTAATTTTACATATAGAGTTTTGATATTTACTTAGAAAAATTTCGTCGCACCAACATATGAGGGTAACAGAGAAGTTCATTTTTCGATCGAACTAATCGATAGAGAATGTTCTGAAACGTCCAGAAAACAAAACTTTTGTATCGAATTTTTGGAAATTTACTTAGAAAAATTTCACTTCAGGTCCGGGGAGCCCCGGACCAAGGGACTAAAACCCGGACCCATGTGACCAAGCGGCTAAAACTCAATCCCGAATAGTGAAGAATAGGTAATTAATCTGAATAAGTATTTTTTCGTTTAAATCTTTCGACAAAGTCAATTAATTAAGATAAGTTCCTCTGATTTTGACTGATTATGGGCCTAATTTTTCCTTTCATTCCATGAACTTTACGCGCTTTTACCAAACATGTCCAGCTTTAGGCGAAATTTTGCGAACGTGTTCACTTTATGATAGAAATTGCACTACCTTAAATATTGTTAGTTGGCAATGCTCAGCTTTCAGTACATGATGCTTAGTTTTATCTAGCATTTCGTATTCTAAAAGAAAATTAATCTTTTGATTTCTCATTAAATTTTTATTTGTCCTCTTGTAACCAACTTGCCCCTACCTCAGATCCTTCGAACAAATTAATATTGCTAATTAATATTTATTTAGCTCCATTCGTTTCAAGATAAACCGATTCCAAAGTCAATAATATTAGGGTACCCTACTGGGTCTAGGTATAAGGAGAAAATCGTCATGTTATTTTTCAGAAATGAAACTCAATTTATACAGTGTATAAATGGAGTTTCATTCATTTAAACAATTAAATATGGTAAATAAAACAAGAAGAGACTGTTTTAACTATATATGTATAATGTATCTACAAATTCTAAGTACTTTATAAGAGTTTGAGCGAAAAAATGAGAAAGTACTATACGTGGGTCGCCTGCCGAAGACCACCACTGCCCTGGATGTAATGGACCATCATGATTCCTGCCTTCCGGA